GAGCCAATTTATTCTTTCAGTACACAGAGCTCAATAGTTGAGGTAAAATGATTTGCTCAAAGTCATATAGGTATTGGCCGGGCATGGTAGTTCATGTCTGTAATCTCAGCACTCTGGGAGGCTGAGGCAGGTGGATTGCCCTGAGCTCATAGTTTGAGACCAGCTTGAGCAAGAGCCAGACCCTGTCTCTAAAAATAGCTAGGTGTTGTGGTGGTGGCCAGTAGTCCTAGCTACTCAGGAGGCTGAAACAAGAGAATCACTTGAGTCCAGAGGTTTTGAGGTTGCTGTGAGCTGTGATGCCACGGCATTCTACCAAGGGCAACAATATGAGACTCTGTCTCAAAAAACTAAAAAAAACACTGGGTGTGTCTGTTGCTCAGTGGGTAGGGCACTGGCCACATGCTCTGGAGCTGGTGGGCTCAAACCATCCTGCAGCCTACTAAACAAAAAACAAACAAAAAAGTAGGCATTGTTGCAAGCTTCTGTAGGGAGGCTGTGGCAAGAGAACCACTTGAGCCCAAGAGTTTGAGGTTGTTGTGAGCTGTGACACTGTGGCACTCTACCAAGGGTGACAAAATGTGACTCTGTCTCATAATAAAAGAAAGTCATATAGGTATTTAGTGGTAGGGAGTACATTAGAACTGAGTTCTGATTTCGAGTCTAGTCCTTTTTCTCATAATTAGTATCTTCTCTACTTTTCATGGTATGTGAGCTTGAAATGTGGTTTAACTGGCTGAAAAACATGAATTTTGTTGTCGGTGAAACTTGACTATGAAATAGGAAGGCGATTTGGATGAATGAAAATAATTTTACATTTTCCCCCTAGAGGAGAAGATGCTAGAACCACAGGAGAATGGCCTGTTTGACCTACCAGATTATGAGCATATAGAAGATGAAACTTTTCCTCCTTTCCCACCTCCAGCTTCTCCAGGGAGAGGAAATGGTGAAGAAGCTGAACCTGATGAAGGTTAGTATAGAGAGTTTCAAAAATGTGTTCCATGTTAAGTTCTGTCAGCTTAGAAATAATGTATTTTATTTAAAAGGCTTAATTTAAGTACAGTAACACTGAATCTTTATGTTTACACCAGAATCAGGAAGTGGAGCACCTGTTCCTGTACCTCCAAAGAGAACAGTTAAAAGGAATATACCCAAGCTGGATGCTCAGAGGTATATTTGCTATTTCTGTATGCATTTACACTTTTTTTTTTTTTTTTGAGATAGAGCCTTATTATATACCTTTAGTAGAGTGCTATGGCATCATAGCTCACAGCAACCTCAAACTCTTGGGCTTAAGTGATTCTCTTGTCTCAGCCTCCCAAGTAGCTGGGCCACAACGCCTGGCTTTTTTTTTTTTTTAGTTGTAGTTGGCCCAGGCTGGATTCAAACCCTCCAGCTCAGGTGTATGTGGCTGGTGCCCTAGTTGCTGAGCTATAGGTGCCGAGCCTAAAACATACTTCTTTTCACAGATTAACTTCAGAAAGAGGGCTTCCAGCCTTAAGGAATTTGTTTGATAAGGCAAAATTCAAAGGTAAAGGTCATGAGGTAAGAAATGTCTGATTTTTATTTTAGATTTCTGTTATTTAAGACAGCAATAGGGGTTGGTGCCTGTGGCTCAGGGAGTAGGGTGCCGGTCCCATATACCAAGGGGGGCAGGTTCGAACTCGGCTCTGGTCAAAACTGCAACAAAAAAATAAAACTTTAAAAAAAAAAAAAAAAAAAAGACAGCAATAAAACTGTGGGTCATATATTTCGGGGAACCTCAGAATGCTTTACAGATACTATTCATCATTGTATCTCTTGAAACATAGTTGTGATGTAGTAAAAAGTGTGTTGTTTGAAGAATTAGAAAGTGTGTCTTTATATAGTCTGTTCCTGCCACTTGAGCTTTAGGAAAGTTACAGCTGCATCTCTAACCCTCAGTTTTTATTTTATAATTTAGAGGAATAAAATTTATGTTATCTTCCTTAAAGAGTGATTTTAAGCTTCATAAGAGCAAGGACTCTGTTTATAGGGATCATTTACGTGTCCCCAAGAGATGGCACAGTGCCTGCTTCATAATAGGCATCAATAAAGTTCATTTAAAAATGAAATCTTCTATTTGGGAGGCTGAGGCAAAAGAATCACCTAAGCCCGGGAGGTGGAGGTTGCTGTGAGCTGTGATGCCACGGCACTCTACCGAGGACAATAAAATGAGACTCTGTCTCAAAAAAAAGAAAAAAATAATGAAGTCTTTTAGCTGGGCATGGTAGTATGCACATAGTATGCACATAGCTACCTGGAGGCTGAGGCAGGAGGATCACTTGAGCCTAGAAGTTTGAGTCCAGCCTGGGCAACAACAACACCTCACCTCTTGAAGAAAAGAAAATGGAAGATGTTGAGTAACTGTCATTCACGGTATAAGCACATAGTTTAAAATTTTCTTATGTTTGAATCATATAGGAGTATAGATATTTTTTGCAGATAATAGTGTATTTTTATAGAGTTTTGTTTTTTATAAAGTGTTTCAAATATGGTCTCTTTGAGTTTTCAACCTGTTGGGTAGATGTTGGTGCCATTATGTAGTTAAGGAAACTGAGTTTTAGAGTTTGCTAACAGTTAAAGACTGAACCTAGAAGTTTGATTTCATAGCCCAGCTAGGAATAATGTTCCACAACTCACTACAGGGGTACTCACTACAACAGTGAGTACCATTTAGGTGTGGTATGCAGGATAATTTGGAAGGGAGAAGAGACTGAAAACAGACAACTCACGCTGTTATATCACCAGTGGGATGAGGTGAGGGTATCTCTGTAGGGTACTAGTAGAGAGATAAATAGATGGAGCTTGTAAGGATTGGATATAGGAAGATAAAAGGAGTTGAAAGTAATCCCAAGATTTCAAACCTACAAGGCTGAAGAATTACACATTTGCTCAGCTTCATTGGGCATAAGAGAGAATATAAATAAGCCTTTGTTCCGTTTTGCCACAAAACTAAACATGAATCAAGATACTTAAAAAATCATACCCAGATTAGTTAATTCATTGCCCTTGCTGAAATTTTCAAGTAGTAGTGGTAAATTAGTCTTTGATTTTGTGAATAATAAGTTCTTATTAAAATATATAATAGGGCGGTGCCTGTGGCTCAAAGGAGTAGGGCGCCTGCCTGATATGCTAGAGGTGGCAGGTTCAAACCCAGCCCGGGCCAAAAAACTGCAAAAATAAATAAATAAATAAATAAAATAAAGTATAATAATAAGTTCTTATATATATAGTTTATGTTTCTTCAGTGAGCGAAGGTGGGTTCTGAGAGTTTAGTCTTTTGTGCTTTCCTCTTTTATACTTTTTTGTCTTTTATTTTCTCACAGTGTTAAATCCTCACAGCTTTTTTCTTCATGTGTGACTTGACACTTAGATTATTTAATTTTTCTTATGTCCCTTGGGTCTAACCTGACATCTTGAGGTAGTTGACCAGCCACTCCCAACTGGGAAATGGTCTGATGTGATTGAAACGTTTATTATCAAAATGGTAGAATAAGATTATATTCTCAGCATTAACATATTTAGTCATTGGTATAGTTGATCATTTTGACCAGTGGCTTCCAGAAAGGGTCAAAAAGCAACAGTAGCAGACATTTAAGGGTTTGCTTCGTGTCAGGCACTTTTATTAATCCTTATAGTAACCCTATGAAGTATGTAAATTATTCTTATTTTATACATGAAGAAATAGGCACATTGGCAACTTGTTGAGTGACCAAAAAAAACAGGCTAAGGTAAAATGATAGAGTTTGCTAATAATTTGCTAACGGCTATTAAGTGGTGGAATTAGGATATCAATCTATGCAGGCTAACTTAGAGCCTGTGCTTTAGTCATTCTTCTATTTTAAAACACTGTTAAGTCAAGAATGAAATATTTTACAGTAAGACCAGGAATTTATAACTTGTTTGTTCATTAGTCAAATTATTAAACTTTTTCATTTTCCTTTAAAAAAACCTTAACTGGAATTTCGAATACAGAGATGTATTACGGTTTAAAATGTTTAAACTGTTCTTGCTAGTCTTTGGTAGTTTGCCCATATTCTTACAGTTGTAAATTTTCAATGCTTTTTTCTTTTTTTTTTGTACGAAAAGTCTTTATTGGTGGGGGAGGGAGGCTGCAGAGCAGCACCAGAGAGGAGAGAGAGAGAAGAGTAAAGAGGAAGAGAGAGATGAGAGGAAAAGAGGGAATAAAAGAGAAGTGCACCCGTAGATAGGTTCAGTTAGGGGAAGGCTTAGAATGATGACAGGATGGTAGAATAGCCAATGAAGAACAGTTAGGGGCAGGTCATAAGTTTTAATTTTTCAGCCGGTTTTGCACTGGGGAAGGGACTTTCCTGGAGCAATTACCTAACATTCCTCCATTCTTGATATGGTTTTTTTTTTTTTTCATTCTTGATATGTTAACAGTAGGGGTTTGGCCTTGGGATGGGGAATGTTAAGTTCTCTCTTCTGTAGCTTCTTTCTGCTGGGAAGGGCACATAGTTTTAATTGGCCAACTAGAGGACAATTATGACTTTTTTCTTTGGGAAGATGTAAGTTTTTCTCTCAGACTGCCCTTTTAGCCGTGGCTGTTCAGTAGCGGTGTTCAGGAAGGTCTTGTGGCCTGGAGTAGAGTGTAGTCCACTCATGAAGAACAATTTCTTTTTCTTGTAGGTTGGGAGCTGTATCCGGGGTATACAGCACCAGCTGAGTAGTTAACAAGTCTGGATGGGGCCGGTGCTGGGTGCTGGTTAGAGTGCCTTGGTGGATGAACACGAGCCGATGTGTGGTGGTGAATCACACCACTGCTGGGTGGGCAGTGCTGGGAGGGCGTTCTCTAATTAAATCCCACTTCTAACACCAGATGACAGGGTGGCACTCGACCCAGCAGAGATCTCACAGACCACCAAGTCTTGTATGAAAGGTCTTTATTGGTGGGGGTGGGAGGCTACAGAGCAGCACCAAGGAGGAGAGAAAAAGAGAAGAGAGACAGAGAGGAGGAGAGTGAAGAGTAAGAGAGAGATGAGAGAGCAGAGGAAAAGAGAATGATTTTTCCTTTGTATAAGATTTAAGGACTTGTCATAGTGTTTAGTTATTTCTGGAAGATACTTGACATTTTATTAAGGCTTATATGGGGGTTTATTTTATATTTCTGAAAAGGCATACATAATTACTGTTTAACTTTATTAAGCTTTCATGCTGTGATTTTTTTTCCTCTGAGTTTTAGAGATCTGTATCCAGTGCTTTTTTAGACTGTAGTCCTCTAAAACCTGAATATTTTTCTTTGCCTATATTAAAAAAATATTTTTCTTGACATCTTTCTGAAAGTTTTTCAACTTTATAAATATAAAATGATACCAGTGACTTTGGCATTGCTTCTCAGTTCTAAAAGTTGCTGACAGGATCTAGATTGAGTCTTCCATTTAGCATTTTTATTTTTATGTGCCAGGCCGAAGACTTGAAGATGCTAATCAGACACATGGAGCACTGGGCACATAGGCTATTCCCTAAACTGCAATTTGAGGATTTTATTGAAAGAGTTGAATACCTGGGAAATAAGAAGGAGGTTCAGGTAAGTGTTGATATTATTATGAATATCATTCACAATGTTAAATGGTACAAGAATAGATTTAGATGAAGCTAAATTGCTGTTTGGGGTCTTCATTTTGAAGTCTGTCTGGGTAGAAAGGGAAAATTAATAGTTTTTTGAAGAACAACTTTTTTGAAACTACAAGTTGAATAAATGACAATTATTGCTTAAAAATATAAAAATATCTCTATTTTCAGACCTGTTTAAAACGAATTCGACTTGATCTCCCTATTTTACATGAAGATTTTGTTAATGATGGTAAGAATGTAGGTTTTCTTGTTTTATAACAATTTTCCTTTTAGAAATGGATCTTGTCAAGATACGCAGTATTATAGGACTGGATCCTTAGTCTATATTAGGTATATTAGGAAGTATAATAAAGTACAATAAATAGGAACATGTTAAAATGCATTGTTATGTCTAGAATGTTGTGTAGAAAATTTGTGTTTTAAAGACATGGCTCTAGTGTCTTTAAAGATGATGTAAAAAATATATTTAGTCTCAGTGCCTGTGGCTCAAGTGAATAAGGTGGCAGGTTCAGATCCAGCCTGGGCCCGCCAAACAACAATGACGGCTGCAACCAAAAAATAGCTGGGCGTTGTGGCGGGCGCCTGTGGTCCCAGCTACTTGGGAGGCGGAGGCAAGAGACTCGCTTGAGCCCAGGAGTTGGAGGTTGCTGTGAGCTGTAATGCCATGGCACTCTACCCAGGGGGAAAGCTTGAGGCTCTGTCTCAAAAAAAAAAAAAAAAAAAAAAGATAATAGTGTTCTTATACATATATACTATTAGAGAAAGTAGCCCTGGGAAATTAGGCAGAATAATTGGATAATGAAAGTTAGCATTTCACTTGAAGTACAGATCTTAGATATAAGACGTTGGTAAGACCTGTGTGACAGTTCTTGGTAATGATTGCATTGTTAGTTGTACAGTGCAACCGTAGACAGTCACATACATCAAAACACATGGTTCCTGCCGACAGGGTCTGTAAAGCTATCAGATTTCTGTGCGATGGTTCCATACATGTTTTTGTTTTTTTTAACTTTTAGTAAATGTGGTAGAAAATACAGGCTCTGCATAGAATCCCCCAAAGTTAACTTATAAATTGCTCTTAAAAGTGTGAAGGAATGTGGTTTAAATAATCCAGATTTAAACAGTTTGGCTAACAGACTAGTGAATGAGTCAGACATAGAACATTGCCAATAGTCTGATAGGTGTTGTAATTAGAGGTGTGAATAGGGAATAGGGTGGGGTACAAAGGAAAGTATACTTTCCCCAGAGAAGGGGAAGCTTTACAGAGATTATAACAAGTATTTTGAATGATAAGCAGTAGAGGTCAGGTAGAGGTGATTTTGGATATGGGAAGCTGCTTGTGTATAGGTGCAAATTAACAGGACCATTAAGGGAATTACAAACATGCTAAAATACAGGGAACATATAAGAGATTTAAATGACAGACTTTGTTGTGAGATATATTTTCTGTTTTTTGAGACAGTGTGTCACTCTTGCAAAGCTGGAGTGTGGTGGTGAGTTCATTTCTGGGCTGGTCTTGAACTCATCCTCAAGCAATCCTGTGTTGGCCTCTTAATGTGCTGGGATTATAAAGATTGAACCCTGATTTTGTTTTTAATTTCATATTTATTCTAAAGGGACAAGCTGCTGCTCCTTTCAAAAACATTATTTAAAGAGGTCATTTACTATTGAAGACATCTCTTTTGTGAGTTCTTTATGTGTTTCATTATTAATTGATTCAGAATCCTATTATCCCTATAAGATAAACCATATCAGAAACTCTATATAGAGCTAAGTGTGGTAGCTTGCTCCTGTAATCCCAGCTAGGTAGTTATTCAGGAGGCTGAGGAGGAAGAATGGCTTGAGGCCAGGAGTTCAAGACCAGCCTAGGCAAAATAGTGACTCCTCTGTCTCAAAAAAAACAAAAACAAAAAAACAACTTCATGTGTTTCATAAGTGATTTTTTTTTTTTTTTTTGAGACAGAGCTGTCCCCCTGGGTAGAGTGCTGTGACATCACAGCTCACAGCAACCTCCAACTCCTGGGCTCAAGCGAGTCTCCTGCCTCTGCCTCCCAAGTAGCTGGGACCACAGGTGCCCACCACAACGCTTAGCTATTTTTTGGTTGCAGCCATCATTGTTTGGTGGGCCTGGTCTGGATTCGAACCTGCCACCTTAGGTGTATGTGGCTGGCGCCTTAGCCACTTGAGCCACAGGTGCCGAGCCTCATAAGTAATTTTAATACTTGTTTCTTAACTTCTCTAGCATTGTTTTCTATGTAGACTATAAGTACATATAAAATTATGCATGATAAAAGGAATGAATTTCAGTTTTCTTGCTGAAGAAAGATTATTTTTTCTACATCAAGAAGGAAAAGTGTCTGGCTTTTTGTCTTTTACAATTAAGGAAGAAACCTTAAAGGGGGTTAATTATCAAGGATTGGATTAAATATTATGATTTTTAAATTTCAGTAAATTTGGCTCGGCACCTGTGGCTCAAGTGGCTAAGGTGCCAGCCACATACACCTAAGGTGGCGGGTTCAAATCCAGCCCGGTCTGCCAAAACAACAATGACAGCTGCAACCAAAAAATAGCCGGGCATTGTGGTGGGTGCCTGTGGTCCCAGCTACTTGGGAGGCTGAGGTAGGAGACTCGCTTGAGCCCAGGAGTTGGAGGTTGCTGTGAGCTGTGATGTCACAGCACTCTACCCAGGGGGATAGCTTGAGGCTCTGCCTCAAAAAAAAAAAAAAAATTTCAGTAAATTTTTAAATTTCAGGATAATATATGTAAATTCATATTTCAAGTGGTCATTTGAATTGTTTGACCAACTTATCAGATCTGATGGGCTTTTTAAAAAATCCATAATGTGGATGATGTACAGAGCAGGTGAAACGTCAGTTCTGCCGTTTTCTTATTTCTTGCTTGTGCCTCTAATCTACCTGTAGACATTTTGTTATTTTGCAAAACCTTTTTAAGCTATGATTGGTACGTTTTGTTGGGACTCTTTGGTTAGAATAAGATGATATTTGTCATTTTACTTGACTAGACGATTGGAAACGGCTGTTATGTCTGAAATTAAAAATGAGGGCCCACTTTTTCCACCCTCCTGCCTGTAGAGAAGTTTAGGACTGGATAATAATTCTGTCATAAGGATAACTAACAGTTCTTCACTGCCAGTTCTTATTTTAAATAGGTTATTAAAACTTAATTTTTTGGGCAGCGCCTGTGGCTCAAAAGGGTAGGGCGCTGGTCCTATATGCCAGAGGTGGCAGGTTCAAACCCAGCCCCAGCCAAAAACGGCAAAAACAACAACAACAACAACTTAATTTTTCTTAATTCTGTCATGAAATATAACTGTAAGGTATAATTTACTTTCATTCCTCCTACTTTGAGATAACTGGTATACAGGGCTTTAAGTATTTCTTAACACTAATAATGTAGAGAGCGCCAAATTGTTTTTTTAAATTAACCTGGAAATATGTCAATGAATTTCTAAATTTCATTTCCTTTTTCATTGTGTTTTCCCTACAAAAGATAATGGCCTATATAAAGTTACTACTGTGTAACATATAGATGCTGTGGTAGGCTATTAAAACATGTTTAGGGGCGGCACCTGGGGCTCAAAGGAGTAGGACACCAGCCCCATATGCTGGAGGTGGTGGGTTCAAACCCAGCCTCAGCCAAAAACTACAAAAAAAAACATGTTTAGTGTAGAATAAGAATAGGGTTTGGATTCTATAAGCTCTTTTATTAGCCCAAGTATAAAATATTTTTAATCATAACTAAGAACTTTTCCTTTCTGCTTATTTTTAATATTTCCAATTGACTTAACATGCCTCTTTAAAGTGATTTATAAATTCTTTTTATTTATGAATCAAGCTTATATACACAGCATTCTTACGGGCCTCACAAATTATTTCTTCAGATCTGGCCCCTTGCCTCTTTAAACTGTTTTTTCAGTTTAAAACTGTATTAGGTCTTCCTCTAACTAGTTTTAATACTGCAGATGTATTAAAACCTTTTCTTTTCTACTACAGATGAAGTAGGGGAAAATAATGGCCATGATGTATCTGCTACTGAATTAGATTCCTTTTTGACAAACTCATCTGCAAGTGAGAAGTTTGCTTCTGAGTCAAATAGAAGCCTAACAGAAGAGCAACAAGAAAGAATCGAGAGAAATAAACAACTGGCCTTGGAAAGAAGACAGGCAAAGCTACTGAGTAATAGTCAGTCCCTGGGAAATGGTAAATTTTATGCTGGGTTTTATGTACTACCATTAATATATCAAGAGCATGTTAGAAATTTTAACTTCTTTACTGTCCCTCCAAATAAAATACTGTTGGGAATAGACAAGTGTAATATTAACTTTATGTATATTTGAGAGAGCAAGAGTATGTGTGTGTTAGCTATTTGGAATCCTCAGAGAATAAATAAATCCAAGATGATTTTCTGGGTAGCTCAGTACCTCTTAAAATCAATTTTTAATCATTTAAAATCAATTTTGTTTGTTTATTTATTTTGAGACAGAGTCTCACTCTTTTGCTCAGGCTAGAGTGCCATGGCATCATCATTGTTCATAGCAACCTCAAATTCCTGGGCTCAAATAATCCTCTCCAAAGTAGCTGGGCTTATAGGTGCCTACCACAATACCTAGCTAGTTGTTTTGTTTTTTTTAGTAGAGACTGGGTCTCGCTCTTGCTCAGGCTGCTTAAAATTTATTTTAAATCCTTCAAAAAATAAATTTCTCCTTGACTCCTTAAAGCATGTGACACATAGTATTATCTTAAGGATAATTATGAAAATTTGTTATTGTGATAATTTCCTAAACATATAAAATGTCTTCTGTTCCCATTTGAGGATTTTAGAGTGGTTTGCTGTGACATGCATAGTTTCTGAATTGCTTTTTATTTGTCACTTTTGTAGTGAGGTGTATTTTTGATGGCTGTTGATTTGCTTATCTTTTCACTTCTAAAACTGCCTTAAAATTTGCTATTTTTAAGACAGACTGTGGGTTTGGAAACCAAGTTTGTAAAAACTATATTTAAAAAGAATTGCAAATTGGTTGAATGGATTAAGGATTACATATGTCTTTTACCATTTCCAATCCAGTTTTTCCTTTCAAAATGGGAAAATAGGGGCTGTGCCTGTGGGTCAGTGAGTAGGGTGCTGGCCCCATATACTGAGGGTGGCGGGTTCAAACCCAGCCCCAGCCAAACTGCAAAATGGGAAAATAAGAGTTTAGGTATTAGATACCATGTTGTAAAAACAAGTTTTATTATAATACTAACATCTGAAAAATTACATGAAGATATGATTTATTGATGGCAGTGGCTTCCTTGTGGTCAGTGTCAGGTATACCTGGCAATAGGTATTAAGTAAGGCTCAACTCCTATTTGTAACATAGAATTTAAAATTTTCGCAAATGGAAAAAAGTATCTCAAATTTTCTTTACTGTAGGTTACTTTGACATAAAACTGTTAAGTGCATTTGATTTTTAAAAAATCTTTCTAGTACTGATTTTTTAAAATATCTTTTATCTTTTGAGTCTCACTTTGTCACCCTTGGTAGAGTGCTGTGACATCATAGCTCACAGCAACTTCAACTTCTTGGGCTCAAGTGATCTTTTTGCCTTAGCCTCCAAATAGCTGGGATTATAGACATCTGCCATAACGCTGGGCTATGTTTTAGAGATGGGGTCTCACGCTTGCTTAGGCTTGTCTCAAACTCCTGAGCTCCAGCAGTCCACCCTCCTTACCCTCCCGGAGTGCTAGGATTATAGGTGGGAGCCACCACGCCCAGCCCTTCAAGTACTGAGTTTGAATGAGAACAGTTATCCTCTACTATGATTTGAGAGTTTGAGTTTAGTATCATTCAACACCCATTTGCATTTTAAGTGGATTTCATACATGTATAAAAGTGTTTGGCTCAGCGCCTGTGGCTCAAGTGGCTAAGGTGCCAGCCACATACACCTAAGGTGGTGGGTTTGAATCCAGCCTGGGCCCGCCAAAATAACAATGATGGCTGCAACCAAGAAAAAAAAATAGCCGGATGTTGTGGCGGGCGCCTGTGGTCCCAGCTACTTGGGAGGCTGAGGCAGGAGAATTGCTTGAGCCCAGGAGTTGGAGGTTGCAGTGAGCTGTGATGCAACAGCACTCTACCCAAGGGGATAGTTTGAGGCTCTAGCCCATAAAAAAAAAAAAAAAAGTTTGTTTATAAAATAGAAACTCAAAGTACGGTAAAAAGGTGTATTAGAAGAAAGTGATCATAAATTTCATTTCTACTAATCTAAGATTTTGAAGAGATTTGTATTTATGAAGTCAGATTTGGATTAGGTGCTTATAAGGAGTAATGATACGGTTTTTCTTTCAGACATGTTAATGGACACACAGATAGTTGAAGAAGTTAATACTGGTGAGGATCAAGAGGAGGAGTCAGATGTACTAAACAAAGACATTCTGGACAATACTTTAAATGAAGAGGAGGAATTAAAATTAGAGGAAACTCAACTGGCTGATACTTTAAATGAAGAGGAGGAATTAAAATTAGAAGAAACTCAACTGGCTATACTTTAAATGAAGAGGAGGAATTAAAATTAAAGGAAACTCAACTGGACCAATCCTTTTAACATGTACAATAGTAACTTTGTTTCATCCATAAATGTCACTCAGGTTAGATAGTCCTCCAATAAGAGCAAATGTATCTTTTAACTAGTTATCCTACAAGGTTGAGATGAGTATGCATTTGTCTACTATGAGTGTTATTTGTAATTATGCTTGTCACTTATTAAATTCAGTTATTCACTTTAGTGTTTATTTTTATATAGATACGACTGTATAAAATGATTAGTTAATAACCAGCTTCTGCTGCTAGTATTTTCACTAAGTTGAATGATGTACATATGTTGATATGAATGTCCATTTTTTAAAAGTAAAAATAAAAATTGTCTTAAAATATCTAGAGACTTTATGAAAGCTTCTCATTGCTGTTTCTGCAGTTTACACTTTTAGCAATGTTTAAGGTTTATGTATTTTGAGGAGTCGCTTTAATACTTAAAAAATCACATAAAAGACTGCCCTCAGGTGCTAGGAAAGTTCAAAGAATGTTTCTTGGTATCTTACCAACTAGTGGGAGAGAAACTTGCGAAGTATCATGGGGGAAAGTCCTGGGAAGAACATGTACAAAAACAGTATAGAAATAAAGGTTAGAGAATAAGGAAGATTTGGGAATGTTGCCTATAAGGCTAGAAGGGTTGGAGCCAGATAGTGAGAGGACCTGATTGGAGTTCTTCCTCCCTGGTGGAGGGGTAGTTACAGATGAGAAGCATAATTCTGACAACCAAGTTTAAGGTCTGGTTCTTGTAGATTACCACGGGGGAGGGGAAAGGCTAAGCTAGTTTTTACAAAGGAAGATACTGGGAAGAAGGTTAACTTTTTTTAAGACTAGTTTGTAAGGCTCTCACTTTTCCCTTGGGGAAAGGGGATGTTGATAGTGCTAGACTGGCTTCCATCCATAAAGCCAGGACAGAGAGGCATCTTGTTCACTTCAAGCTTGCTGACTTCATGTGGGGATAAACAAAGATGGTTTGATGGAAAAGCCAGAAAGTTGAGCATGAGAACAGAGGGAAAGGGGGTGATGGGCTTGTTGGAACTGCCATCATGATGGGCCAGAGGCATATGCTATTCCAGAGGATTGTGTCTTATTGCTGTCAATAGAGAGTCAGCTACAAGATGGATAGAGCCCAGTTTCAAGGTACCACAAAGTTCTAGAGAAACTGCTTACTCAGGAGGGTCTGTTCAGGCCTCTACCCACCTCACAAACCGCATTAGGCACAAGTGATAAGAGTTAATTTGTCAGTGATGGGTTTGCTGGCAAAGTTTTCAACAAGGGAAAGGCCAGTGTACCTTGTCATCTGAGAAGTACTCAACAAAAATGGGAAGGTCAGAAGGGACATTTGAGACAAATTACCTATGCATTCCACTACCCTCCCTTTGGCCTATTCCCAACTGGTGGTAGAGACAGCACGGAAACCTTGGCTCCAATATAAAATAGTTTTAAAGTGGGGATGGGGACAGGACAAAGTCTTACTATCTTAAAGTGACTGAAAACTGAGAAATGTCAGGGGGGCCTATTATCCAAATGGTTCAGAGTAGCAATCATTGGAAAAATACAATTTATTTTGAAAGAACTGGTTTGAGACAGGATAGCCAAAAATACTGGGTTTATTAAAATGAGGCTAGTAACCTCTATTCAACTGAAAAATCAGTTTCTATAGTGATGTAATGCAACTTTAATGAATAAGAGAACACTTTACACATAAGAAGTAGCTACCCAGGCCTGATTGACTAGAGCATTGAGTGACACACAAAACTGAAGTCTGAAAAGGTGGTAAAATGTTTACATAAGACAAAGTTCTTTTAATGAAGTAAGAATATTTCATATTGTGTAATTGTTTGAAACATCCAGGAGAGCTAGGTCCCTTATCTCCTCTAGAAGTGTGTATAGGCTTCTTCCCTTTGTTTGGCAATATTCTTGATACTCTTCCTGAATGAGGTTAACTTTGACTTCTTGGGCAAGCTGAGCTTCTTCCACAGATCTGGTTACTTCTTTCACTAAGTCACTCTTCAAGAGGGAATTCTGATGAAAAAGTTCTGTGTTTGGTGTCATGTATGGTTTGCTGCTTATTATTTCAAGTCTGATTGTATCAGAATGGCAACGTGAGGCCTGTACAAATATTCTTACCTACCAGAGAGGAGAAAATACATATTACCAAATCACATTCTTTGTTCCTTACATTGAAAACAATACTTAGCGTAAATGCAGACTCACTGTTACATGATCAAATAAACGGAAGGTAACAGATTCCCCTCCTGTCGTTGTAGAGGTAATTTTGTTTTGAAATCGTTGAAGGGATCCTGGTTTCCATTCACAATGGCTATCTGGGCCACATGAGATCACTAAGCCGTCTTTATTTTTCAGATAAGCAGCACCTTTAATCCCAAACCTGAATCATTGCCAGAACAGAAATCCAGAGATAATGTTTCTTAGTATGCAGACCATGCGTACTTATCTATAATAGTAGTTTTCTTCTAGATTAAGAACAAATCATTTTTCCTGTGGTTTACCTCCAAATATTCCTTTCACCTTAGCAGATGGAAACACAAAATATTTTGAAATATTCATTTCACCTTAGCAAATGGAAACACAAAACATTTTGCTAGATAAGAAAGTAAAATCCTAAGATTGCTAGAGATGTATGTGTATATAAATTATATCAAATGTGCTGTTTGTGTTCTACATGTTCAGTTCATGACCTCTTACCATTGCGTTAGATGGAACATACCTTGGTATAAACACAAGTACACCATTTGTTCTAATTGAATAAATAACTCCATCAGATATGCAACGCTCATCGGTTTCAAGGTCTTTGTCTTTGAAGTACATGCATTGGAAGAGCTCGGTAGACTGCTTCTGAGAATGCTGTGCTGCCTGTAAGAAGCACAACCCCAAAGCATTGTAAACAGAATTCCTTAACAGTTCCAGAAGAAACATGAAGTTCATATTCCCACAGAAACAATGTCTTTAATAAGGTTAGTTTTTTTTTTGGGGGGGGGTTCAGTTTTTGGCTGGCGCTGGGTTTGAACTCACCACCCCAGGTATATGGGGCCGGTGCCCTACTCCTTGAGTCACAGGCACCGTCCCGTTAAGATTTTTTTTTTTTAAAAGCTACTTGTGATAAGCATGACAAAAAAGTTAGATTCTATAAAACTATTAATATAAAAACCATTCTCTATTCTGAATTAAATCCATTTTTATGGTAAATTAACCATCCAGTATTATCCGCTCAAAAATGTCTTAGAAAAATGAATGTTTATATGAAATGAAACTTGTTTATAGTTACTCAAAGTAGAGGTTGCCGAATTTGGGACATATCCATATGGGATATAGGGAAAATATCACACATATATCTTCTTACCTTTCTTTTCAAGCTTGTCCTACAGATATCCTACTCAGAGTGTAAATTAGCTTTACTGTTAAGGAGGACAATTTAGTACCATGTATCAAAGTTTTATTTGTGAACACCTTTTGGTGCAGCAATTCCATGTCTAGGAATTTATCCAGGCAATAATCTGAGATGTTGTGAGTGTTCACACAAGGATGGTTGTCAGTTAGATTGCTTAGAATAGCTCTGCCCAACAGAACTTTCTGCAATGATGGAAATGTCCCATGTCTGTGTTGCCCAGTAGGTAGACACTACCCACAAGTAGCCAGTGAGAATACAAAATGTCTAATGTGATTGAAGAACAGAATTTCTACTTCTCATTTAAATTTAGATTTAAATAGCCAACAGGGCTAATGGCTAGAATATTGCACAGCAGAAAAATAGACCATTGGATATAGAAAATTATATTATTTAAGTAGTTTCTACTTTTCTGTATCACCCAACAGTCTAGTTCTGTGCTGTGCAATCTAGTAGCAACTAGTAATAATGTGAATACAAAGCAGCTTCTAAGATAATGATATAACTACTTTTATTGACAGGGTGTGCTATTAATAACAGATGTGTTAAGTGAAAAAAGAAGATTTTAAGCAGCAGGAATTATATTTTTATAAATAAAAATGTTAGCACTGTCTAGAATTGTCAATAATGGTTATTTCTGGGAAGTGAGATGACAGATCTTTCTGTCTTCAGATCTTTTTTTTTGAGACAGAGCCTCAAGCTGTTGCCCTGGGTAGAGTGCCGAGGCATCACAGCTCACTCCTAGGCTCAAGCAATTCTCCTGCCTTTGCCTCCCAAGTAGCTGGGACTACAGGCGCCCGCCACAACGCCCAGCTATTTTTTGGCTGCAGCTGTCATTGTTGTTTGACGGCCCCGGGCTGGATTCGAACCTGCCAGCTTAGGTGTATGTGGCTGGTGCCTTAGCCACTTGAGCCACAGGCACCGAGCCCTGTCTTCAGATTTTTATGTGTTACTTGAACTTTTATATTTCTACATTTTTAGAAAAACATATAATCTATGGTGAAATTCCCCCCATCCATATAAATTACCTGAGAACATCTGTACATGTATAGAAAGCGCTGGTTAGAATAACTCTGTAATTTAATTCGTGAGAATACATGATACTTTACTATACAATAAAGCTGATCTCTTAGCAGAGGTGGGTAAGAGAATTAAAAAATTCCTTCTTACTCGGTTTCTGTTGTTGATATGTCTGCATAATTCCTCAAGATCTTTGTTACTCAACAAATTTTCTTTTGTTTCCATTTTTTTATCTTTTGAAATGGCTGCCATTAACAATCGGTGTACTATAATATCTGAGTATCTTCTTATTGGAGAAGTAAAGTGGGTATATTTATCTAAAGCAAGACCTTCAAAGAGAAGCAGAAAGATCAAAACAAACAACAAAAATTTAAATTGTTTAAATTTAAACAAATCACTCAGTTATAACCAGATGTAGGAAAATGTTATCATTCACCATAATGATGGAACTCTTCCTCTGCACAGGATCCAGTGGAGAAATACAGGGCGTTAGACATAGCCTGAGTGGCCATAGAGCGCAGCAGCCTGTTCACAATAGGATCACTGGGGTCATTCGCATTATCCAGAGAATCAGCCAGTGTTTTATTGGAGCTGATAAAGAACAGAAAACCTTTAATTAGTCCCAAACAGTAATTTACAAGTCAGTACTCAGAAGGGAACTCTTCACATGTTCATCCATCTGAATACTTTCCTCTGCTAGAAGTTAAGTTTATTTT